TTGCTTAGAAAGACAGTATTCTAGTAACTAATAAATCTACAATCATATAGGTAATTTAAAAAATCAAGATTTGTGTAATAGCACATAATAATTTGTGTATGCCAATAACCAATAAATTATAAGCTTTGCAGCTTTTCAGAAATTCTGAGAGGTTTGGCGTTACCGCCAAGCAGCACTGCGTGAAACATGATTCTCATTGGTCCGCTCTCATTGTCACTCTCGAATGTCACGTTACAGCCGGACGTAATCCGTGTACACACTAAGCGGGTAATTTGAATTTGTTATATGCATTTTAATTGTTTGAATTTTATAGGGTGAAAACTGTTAGCTCCGGATAAATTTATCTGAGTAATATAAAAATTTTATTAATATTGCCCAATAAAATTATAACGTTGACGCATTTAAAAATAAAAGTTCATATAAACTCTCGTACTTGTACGTGCCCTTACTTTTCTGCTGCGGGCACGAAAAATTTATATTCAACCAATTTGGAACATACCGTAGATATACATTCATGTATATTACCGGAATATTTGTTTTGAACATACTAGGTATATTCACCTGTACATATACACAATATGTACATACCTGGCATGTTCATCTGCACATATACCCAATATGTACATATATGTACACACCTAGGATATACTTTTTATGAACTTTGATGAATATACATGCATGTATACTCCACGAACATTCATGTTAGGAATGTTCAACCATGTATATTCCCAGGATATTCCCGCAATGTTCTGTATATTTTTTGAACATTCTGGGATATTCATAGAATATCAAATGCTATCTGGGAATGTATTGATATTTTGGTTGAATATAATTCTTAACGGATCTGTGGTGATTGGAAAGACGTATTTTTTTTGTATTTTTAACTGCTTTTTTTGCTTCTACAGTGAATTTTTAGATACCATGTTTTAAAGCAAAATTTTACTAAAATGGCGATAATCTGCCAAGGTCGCAAAAAAGAAAAAAACAATTTACGGTGGATATGCAGCGTTTCAAGCTGCATTCCATGAGCTAATGAAAAATTGGGAGTTCTATTTAAAAAAATACACTTTGATCTTGCCTCGCTTTACTGAGGCACTCTGTATCATATAAGATATTTTTAAAATGTGCGCACCTTGTGCGTCAACAACTTTCATATGAAACTATTTTTCGAAAGTTCAACACCAACGGAAATAATGGACTCTCTTGCACTAAAAAACCACCCTGTATAAAGGTTTTAAAAATAAAGCTATAGCCATGGTATACCAAACCTTAATATTGCTATTGTAATTAAATGATAGATCAGAAAGTTAAAGTTATAATTAGTCAATAAGAGCGGAAGTGAACTACTGCATCGCATCAGATATTACACCCTGAGCTGATAAACAAAACTGCTTTTCATGTGCTAAACAATTTTATGTACAATAATTTGAATGGTTTTATGTTATGTTGCATAGAAGATCAATTACGGTTAAGAACAGACCACAGTTCACAGAAAGTTCACAGTTCTATTTGTAACCAGGTAGCTTCTTAAAGGTAATTGTCCAGATTCTATATTTCGTTTTAAACGTTATTCTAAGTCAATATAATGCAACATAATTTAACATTTGCTTTAATTTCGATTCTAACAGTACATAAATCACTGCTTACTTGTTAATCTCCATTTTTCGGGTTTTGCCAAAGCAAACAATCTACTAAGGTCTGTTTTTCTTAGTTTGGGTGCTTTCCTTACATTTACTTCAGGCTTTTCCGGTGACTTGGGGCTCTTAGAGTTATATCTTCGAAACATCTCTAGTATCTTATTCCCAATCGGTTCCCCAGATTCCCTTACACTGACAGGCTGGTAATTTTGAGTTTTTCGTACCTTTTCGGCACTACCTTTAAAACTCCTAACGAAGTATTTCGTTGTTGGGACATTTTTTGCATAGTTGACTAGTGTTGGCAAAGAACTTTTAGAAATGAGTACAGAGTAAATAATCAACATGTCTGTGGTTCAATGGACATAAAATAAAAAAATAAAAATATAATAGGTAAAAACACACTGTTCACTGCAACATGACTATTCATAATAGTTGTTGATGAGTAGTGAATTTTCAAAGTGGAATTATAGATAATTTAAATTACTGAATACGAGGTTATATTACTTGGTGCTTCTTCTTTACGACCATAGATGAAGGCAAGTATAGATAGCCCACTCCCTTGCACAAAATGATAACATGGTTTTTCACTGACACTGTCACCATCTATTGCTGCTTACAACTAACTAACGTTTGGTGGGTTGCGTCCTTACTACTGCGTATTCAGTGAGGATTTACTATTATCGGCACGCCAATACTACAATTGGGATTAAAAGATGCTTAATATTCAGTTTGATATATTTGTACAGAGGTCAGACTTGTTTCTGATTTATAAACAAATATATCAAATTGAACATAAACATACTCCTAATCTCAATTGAAGTATTTTGGCGTAGCCATAGGTGCTTGAGTATGTTAATAAAAACTCCATAAACATTTAGAAATTTTTATTGCAGGAAATAAATTAGCGAAACTTCAAGCATAATTAATTTGTGAAAGGTGTTTCTTATAGAAACCAGAAACATTTGCTCAAGAAGCAAAATTATGTTATGAATCAAAAATTCAGAAATTATGCAAATACCTAATTCAACGTAACATAACGAATTCATTAATTTAGTAAAATTTCTAATGCAGATGCATATTTAGGGAGGTGTATGGATAACATAATTATATATAAGTTCCTCACCTGTTGGCGATGTATCAATTTCTTCAAATTTTTTACGCCCTCATATAAAATTTTGATGCGAGGCGACAAATTCCTTTAATACAAACGTACCTTTAATTTTTTCGGGGTACACAATTCAGGTGCTGATTCTGTGTGATTTGAGCTGCTCTCCCTGGAAAGCGTGTCTTTGGAGCCTAAAATTGATACGTTGCTAAATTTACATCTCACTTCCTTATAATTAGTACTTACCCGGAACTGTGTGTGCGATATTTGATATGACATGAACAAGCGATGGTCCAGGAATATCGCACAGTTCGGCTATGGGTTGCACCAAGCGTCTTTTGCTAGGATATACCTACTTTTCCTGGCTTAAGTACGGACT